ATCACTGTTTTTGGTGCTTGTTTCTGCAAAATAAGTAACCATGGGCCCCAAGAAAGCTTCTAGTGCCAACCCTTCGAGAAAAAAGGTGCTAATGACTATTGAAATGAAGAAAGAGATAATTGCAAAGTACGAAAGTGGAGTGCGTGTGTCAGAGTGCATGATGGTTTGGTAAAGAAATTGCCTGCAACTAGTGGTGATGTGAGTGAAGTTAAGGCCAGCAAAGGTTGGTTTGAAAGATTTAAGAATCGTAGTGGCATATACAGTGTGGTAAGGCATGGTGAGGCTGCCAGTTCAAGTCCTAATGAAAGGGGATTCCCCTTCTAGACACTAACACCATCCACACACTCCCCTCCTCCCATCCCATCAATCATCACCAGATCTTCATTAAAGGTAAGTGTCAATTATTCTATTTTTATTAATCTATTGTTATTGTAATTATTCTATTGCATTAAACTTAATTCATGTGGTAAAATTTTTTTTTTTCATACTTTTGGGTGTCTTACACGGATTAATTTGATTTCCATTATTTTTTATGGGGAAAATTAATTCGACTTTCGATATTTTCGACATTCGATAGCTCTCAGGAACAGATTAGTATCGAATGTCGAGGGTCCACTGTATAAGTAATTGACCTATACAATGTTTTCTAGAACCTAAATGAAACTTTGTCACTTTTTAAAAATAGAGCAAAAAATGTATAAAAATAAATTGCATGCATTTTCAAAGGCTCTTGTTTCTTCCTTTGTATGAAATAACCATTAAGCCAAGTGTTAATTTACCAGCCAATTTTGCTGATAACTTCCATTGTATATTAGTGCTACTGGGTTACCTCAAGCAGAATATTTCATTCCAATCAGTGACTGTTTTGTATTATGGAATTAAATTCTTTGCTTTTGTTTTTCAAAATTTTTCAAAATGGTTTATCATAAAAGACAAATTTGAGCAAAATATCAGCAAAACTTCTAACTTCTACACCCAAATACACTTATGAAGTGATATTTCCCACATGAATATCATAATACAGGTCCACCATCACAAATCCGGCGATCGGTTATTCGGTTCCTTCAGTTATTCGGCACTAATTTTGGCTAGCATAATTTCAAATTTCCAGGGTCGCCACACCAACCTGCTGGTACTGTTTGGTGGTGCTACTTGCTGCGTAAGTCATTCCAATTTCTTTTTCTCCATTTATTGTTTTAACCTGCTTACTTTTAGCCCTAGCCATGGTTCCAATGAATAAAAGAAATGCTTCTCATTATGTAAAGCACCTACACAGTACATTATCCATTAAAGATAAGGTGGCTTTGAAGCCACTGTCAGTTGCCATGAGCTCAGTCTCATGAAGCAGGAGAATATGCTTTATTATTACGCTAATATCAACACTACAGCTTATTTGCCTATCACAACTGATCTAATATGACATAAGAAACAATATAAATAACATAAAACATGTTAAATACTCCAGAATGAATAATATTTGGAATAACACCGAGCAGTTCGACAGAGTTATGAAGAGGATATGGTAAACAAATACCATTCTCCTATCCTTGTCTTGGTGGCTTATATTAGAGAAAACGGAGTATAGCACAGGGCTAACTATGATATACACTCGTACTCCACCATAAACATGAAACAAAAAAGTTACTTTCTCTCTATAGATTATCACACATAGCAGCATATGTGTAGAGAACCTAGGATAACCCCCAAAAAAGTCAACGTGGCTTATTTTTAGTACCTGGCTTGGGTTAGCCATATATGATTTTTGGTAAATATTTGAATCGCAGCCAGGGTAAAAACATTAGGCGTGTTTCTTTACACCTGTTGTCTATGTTTACCCATCAGTAAATGGGTACCCTGGTGTTAGTCGACTAGTGTGGGTGTTATCCTGGGACACTGACCTAATTTTCTTGAAATACGTACTCTGCATAACAAGTGCCTTTCTATACAGTAGTATGTCACTGATGTCAGCTAGGCCTGTATACCTTGTACATGTACGTGTAGTAAATAAAGATATTATTATTATTATTATTTTCTCAGTTGTTTGTTGGGTTATCTTATTCAAACTTGGGCAATGTATGATGGAAAGATACTTCTTCACGTACACCAAAAATGAAAGAAATCAGACCATAAATAGCGGAGTTCACTTCTCAGCCATTAGCAGCCGCTTAGCGGTATATTTTTGTATGGTTGTTATGGTTATATTCTCATTTTTTCGGTCTCATTTGATAGAATGAAAGATATATTACAGAAATAGATATGATTTTAATTGCTTTCATGATGAAAAGTACCTTGAAATTGCGCTCACAGTAGCGAAAATGTTCTATTCTTTAGCGAAGCTCAAGAGTGAACAAATGACGTCACCGTCCAATACCTGTCTGCCTGCCAGTCCAAATTCCAGTACGGAGTCAAGAATGGATTGACATTATTTATACAATTATTACAATAATGCAGTAGTCTGCATAACAGTAAATCTATTTTTTGTTTTGTGAATAAAAATTCCAAATGGTAAGCAAGAGTAATATAAGAGGGGCCTGGAGCCATGACTAATGAACAGAGAAAATGTTATTTTAGTGCCAGGAATGTCTGCATTGCTTATTCTGGATCCTGTTTTGAAATTGGCATCTGTTGAAATTTGTGTGAAATCGGCCAATTGCCAATTTCTGACCACTTTATTGGGTAGTTGAAGTGAATGGGCAGTTTCTTGTACTCAGTTGACAGACTAGAAGTAAATAAGTTCATTCAGGTATACACAAATACAGTTACACAGATTATCATACATAGCAGAGTATGTATAGAGAACCTAGGATAACCCAGAAAAATCAGACTTATTTCCAGTACCTGGCTTGGGCTTGCCATATATGATTTTTTGGTAAATATTTTTTTTTTCTCGGTTGTTTGTTGGGCTATCTCATTGAAACTTGGGCAATGTATGATGGAAAGATGCTTCTTAACGTACAACAAAAATAAAAAAGACGGATGATAAATAAGGGAGTTCACTTCTCAGCCATTAGCCGCCTCTTTGCAGTATATTTTTGTATGGTTTTTATGGTTGTATTCTCATTTTTTGGACTCATTTGATAGAATAGAAGATATATTACAGAAACAGACATGATTTTGATTGCTTTCATGACGAAAAGTATCTTGAAATTGAGCTCAAAGTAGCGGAAATGTTCGATTTTTGCCGATGTTCAATGAACTGTGCAAGTCAAGTTGGTTAATTTTATTAAGTGTATTCTAACCTAACCACTCTGTAATTCGGCAACTCAGTAATCCAGCACACTACAGGTCCCAATGATGCCGGATTTGTGATGGAGGACCTGTAGTAAATAAGAGAACTGATATTAAACTTCAGAAAGTTCTCACTGTTTGTACTCAAATTTCACATAAGCTTCACTTCATAATTCTATGGAAAAGTAATTAACTTTTAAAACTTTTTTTAGTAAATGAAAATCACCAAATAAATAATAATAAATGAACAGATAAAGGTGATATTCATTGGCAAGGGTGTGTTACCACACAAAACATATTTGTTATTCAATTTGCAAACATTTTTCATTCAAGATTTATATATACGTATATGCATTCTCAGTGCTCTGTTGAATATTTTTTTTTTTTAACACACTGGTCGTCTCCCACTAAGGCAGGTAACCCGAAAAAGAAACACTTTCGTCATTATTCACTATCACTGTCTTGCCAGAGATGCACAGATACAACAGTTCAGATGTCCCTTCAAACAGCAAATATCCCAAACCACTCCTTTAAAGTACAGGCAATGTACTTCCCACCTCTAGGACTCAAGTCCAGCTAACAAGTTTCCCTGAATCCCCTCACGAAATGTTATGTTTTTCACACCGCAATAGCTCAGCAAGTCCCAAAAACCATGCCTGTTGTATGTCCAAGCCCCCTTGCACACAAAACCTTTACCCCCCTCCCTCCATATTTCTTATGACAACCCCTACCCCACCTTTCCTCTACTACAGATTTACACACCCTTCAAGTCATCCTACTTTGCTCCATGCTATCTAAATGACCAAACCACCTCAACAACCCCTCCTCAGCTTTCTGGATAATACTTTTAGTAACTCTGCACTACCTCCTCCCAATCTCCAAACTACAAATTCTCTGCATAATATTTACACCACACAATGTCCTCAGGCATGCCATCTCCACTGAAGCTTCACACCTATATAAGAGTGTTGGTATCACTATACGCTCATACATTACCCTCTTTTCATCCATGGATAACGTTCTTCATTTCCACAAATACCTTAATACACCACCCATCCTTTTCCCTTCATCAATTCTATGGTTTACCTCATCATTTACACGTCCACTCCCAAATATCTGAACACTTTCACTTCCTCCATACTGCTTCCCTCTAATGTGATATCCAATTTTTCATTACCTAATTCATTTCATACCCTCATCATCTTACTCTAATCTAATGTTCACTTGCATCTTTCTTTACACGCCCTCCCAAACTCGCAAAGAAAGGAAGTTGAAAGTGAGCATAGATAAGAGTTAGCTGGTGAGGGTATCAAACAAGTTAGGTAATGAAAAATTGGATATCACACTGGAAGGAGGGAATATGGAATATAATACCAAAAATAATTTTCTTTTAATAAGGCCAGGGTTATGAAATCAAAATAAATTCACACATTTTAAAAGAGAATTTGTAAAAAAAAAAGTGAAAGAAGTGATGTGAAAAAGAATAAGGATAAATAAGATGTCTTTTCAGCAAGATGGACATGGAAACAGAAAATTGTGTTCAGTGCATGGGAAAAGCTTCATGTTGGGAAGAGAGAAGAAATACAAGACTGTACCTGTATGGTCCAGTGGGATGATGGTTACTGTAGATCCCAAAGGTATCCTTCTTCTTCATAGACAAAGATAAATAAATCATGTCTAATGCTTTGCAGTTAATGGTAAGTAAAGAGAACTGGAAGGTAGTATATGCTGGAAACACATCTCTTGCAGATATCTGCACATTGTAATAAATGATAATTAGAGATATTGTAATAGGCTTAAATGCAGAAATTAATAAGGATACATAGTGAGGCAGGAAAGATGGGCTTAATATTTTTGATTCAGCATGTAAAATGTGTAATAACTACACCACAATATTGTAAAAAAAAGCTTCTGTTGCCTTTTGTTTCTTAGTTTTATTCTTTCTAAATGTTTAACATATAATTTACAAATGTCTTAAATTTTTCTTCAGAAGAGCTCAACTGAATTGTCTGAAGGAGATTCAATCTAGCTGTGTGCTTAAGGAAGGGACTTTCCAGAGGTAACAATCTAGCTGTCTGCTTAAGGAAGGGGATTTCCAGAGGTAACAATCTAACTGCCTGCTCAAGGAAGGGGATATCCAGAGGTAACGATCTAACTGCCTGCTCAAGGAAGGGGGTTTCCAGAGGTAACAATCTAGTTGCCTGCTCAAAAAGGGGATTTCCAGAGATAACAGTCTAGCTGCCTACTCAAGAAAGGGTGCTTCCAAAGGTAACAATGCTCTAATGAGGCTAGAATATATAAATATAAAAAGTAGAATTTTCTGTCCAATTAATAAAATAAATTACGTATATTTGAAAAGGTTTCAAACATGTATTATCAGAGATATTGCCTTGCCTATTATATAAAAAGTATACATTTGCCAATGCAATTCGAGATGAATACTTGACAAAAGTCTTCATAATATATCAACACAAACAAAACAAACAATGCAGACAAATGGACATAAAATTTATACAAAATATTTACAAAGTAATATCATACATAATATCATAAAAAATATCCAGATACGCACAAATTTTCATAAACATTTCAGGTGGTTTTCAATATTTATGTTGTCTGGAAAGATACATACCCTCTCAGTCAATTTTCTCTTCAGCCTCAGATATAGTCTTGCCTCTAAGCATTTTGATTGCCCCAAGAATCATCAATCTCAGCCAATGGACTTGAGGTAGGAATACTATTAAGGAACCCACATTGCAATGCAGTGGAATTGTCCTTATCACATCCAAAACTCGCATGTTATACTGGGCACCATAGGCCATGTACATATAAGGAAATATCAGAATCCGACAGAGTGTAAATGATATTATCATAGCTAGTCCATTTGCCAAATACCATCTGCAATGCAGAAACAAATTATAAAACTATTAATTGTGTTATAAACATCATCAGAACAAGAGTTTATATCAATAACTAATAAGCATAGTTTTATAAGCTACAACATATCCCTTCTTCTTCTTTCAACAAACTGGCCATATCCCACCGAGGCAGGGTGGGTCAAAAAGAAAAACAAAAGTTTCTCTTTTTAACTTCAGTTATGTATACAGAAGGGGTTACTAGCCCCTTGCTCCCAGCACTTTAGCCGACTCTTACGACACGCATGGCTTATGGAGGAAGAATTCTGTTTTGATTCCCCATGGAGAACAACGTATCCCACTAATCTTCTCATTGCACATTCAATCTAAAATGAAATTCTTATTAAATTCCAACCATAATAGGCCAGAACATCAAGGGTGTGATTAAAAATTGCTGGCCTTGAATGGTCCATCTAAAATGGGTTACACCAATGGCTATACTGAAGACTAAAAACGTTTTTCTTCTAGTGTAGCTTTCCTATTTTAACCCTTTCAGCATCAGTCCCACTGTATCACAGCTTTGAAGCCAGTGTCAGTCCCGTAGTATGAGCCCATGAGTTCAGTTCACTCATAAGCTGTAAGTGGTAAATTTGGGCCTAAATATACAGTAAGAATGCACCATATAAAAAAAATCCTGCAGGTCATGGTACATGAGAAAAAAACTGCAAGTGTTTTTGGTTTAAAACAGCGAATTTGCTGTGTATTTTTGTATGATTTTTATGGTTGCAGTCTTGGTTTCTTGGTCTCATTTGATAGAATGGAAGATGTATTACAGAAACAGAGATAATTTATATTATTTCCAGGACTGAAACTAGCTTGAAATGAAGCTCAAAGTAGCAAAAGTGTTTGATTTTTGCCAATATTCCAGAGTACAGAATACGCGTTTTGTGAATAAAAATTCAAAATGAGGGCCTGGAGATGTGACTAAGGAGCAGAGGAAATGTTTATTTAGTGCCAGGATATCTACATGTTTATTTTGAACCTTATTTTCAAATTGGCAACTGTTGAATTTTGTGTGAAACTGGCTATATTACCAATTTCTGATCACTTTACTGGGTAGTTGAAATGGGTGGTTTCTTGGATTCATTTGATAGAATAAAAGGAATACTAGTGAAATAGCTGTGAATTAGGTTGACTGGCACAATGGAATTGGCCAAAAATAGAATGTAAAGTGGGCAAAATTGCTGATCCGTACATATCGCTGAGACCGCTAACTTGGCAAGAGCATAATTCTGTATGTTTTCCATTAAATTTTGTACTTTTGGTTTCGTTACCTTCAGAAAAAGATTCTCTATCATTTCATAAGATAAAATAATTTTTTTTTTTTAATTTCTTTGACTCTTGGAGCAAGTTTGCAAGCAGGGGTCACGACACTAAAAGGGTTAAGCCATCTGATGTACAGTTATATTGCAAAAGTAAAGGTATTAGAAAACCTAATTACTTTTTTAAATTTTACATTTTAATTAATACTGTGTAAACAAACTAAAGTTGTTTTGCTATAGCTTGAGCTTGAAACATAACATAAAAATTAAAAGCATTTCAACTTCAGCTACAGTGTATTTATAAGAAATATCACCAATTTCAGTCATCTCTTATGACTCAAGAATATAAAATACCTAATTTTATAATACCTGACTACCAAAGCTCTGCATTCTACAGTCATGTTCAGGTGTAACTAGCATGGCAACCTAGCTGATGTGCCTTTCACAGGGACAAGTCTAGTTAAGCACCAATACATCTGGCCAATGACTGAATGGGTGATCACATGGACATAGCCTGCCCTTCAATGGGTAGATTTCATTAGGAAAATTACTGGCTTCTGATCCCTGAAAAGGTACTGTACTGGATACTATAAATATTTGATTACTTATTTACAGTTACCTATTTGTAGCTACAAGAGCAGAGTTATTCTCATGGTGTCCCATCTACAGTAATTTAGTCATCATACAAATTTTTAAATTAAATTCTCCATGTATTCATATGTTGTACATTGTAAACAAGCACTTTAGTAAAAGCGGGTTGACTGATGAACAAGGAATCTGCCTACAAAACACTAGTATCAAACATACCTCACAGTAACCTCCAGTATAGTCCGGGTCCTCCACATTACACAACATTATAACGCCTGCTTTTAGTCACTCACTATAGCGCTCTTTCTGTTAATCAGGTGAACCACTATAATACTATTACAACTACGTATAGTACTGTACTACCACTATGATAATAAATACACTATAATAATAATAATAATAATAATAATTAATAATAATAATTAATAATAATAATAATAATAATAATAATAATAATATTAATAAATATAATAATAATATTAATAAATATAATAATAATATTAATAAATATAATAATAAAAAGGGAGATACTGAGTGATAGCATGAGAGTGATGGAGAGGGTTTGCCCTGACCCCTGCCACAAGGTGTTAAACGATACACAAAACTGCAAGAAATATTCTTAACCCTTTCAGGGTCACCAGGCCCTCTCCAAGACTTGTTCCCAGGGTCGCCAAATTTAAAAAAAAAAAGAAAAAAAATTCTTATGAAGAGGTAGAGAATCTTTTCCCGATCATAATAACAACAAAAGTATGAAATTTGATGGAAAACTTACGGAATTATGCTCTCACGAAGTTAGCGGTCTCGACAATGTTTACGCATCGGCGATTTTGCCCACTTTGAGCCCTATTTTTGGCCAATTCCAATGTACTAGTTGACAAAAATCATAACTATTTCGCTAGAACAACATTTTTTCTATCGAATGAGTACAAGAAACCACCCATTTACCGATTTCAACTATCCAATAAAGTGGTCAGAATTTAGCAACTTTGCCAATTTTGAACAAATTTCAAAAGATGCCAATTTCCAAATAGGGTCCAGAATAAACAAGAAAGACATTCCTGGCACTAAAATAACATTTCCTCTGTTCATTAGTCACGTCCCCATGCCCCTCTTACATTCTTTTGCTTCCCACTTTGAATTTTTATTCTCACAAAAAATAGAAGATTTACTGTTATGCAGACTACTGCATTAGTGTGGAAATGGTATAAATAATATCAGCACACTTGTGAAAGAATATCAGACTCACCAGTTGATGTGTAATGGACGCATAGCACGATTTGTTTACTTTTGAACTTTGGCAAATATCAAAGATTTCTGCTACTTTGAGCTCAATTTCAAGGTACTTTTGATTGTAAAACCAATCAAAATCGTCTCAATTTCTGTAATATGTCTTCCATTCTATAAAATAAGACCAGGAAAACTAGAATACCATCATAAATACCATACGAAAATACAGTGCAAAGTCGCTGTTTTAAACCAAAAACACTGTCCAAGTTTTTTTTCTCATTACGCACTGTGTGCTGCAGGATTTTTTTATACTGCGCACACTGACCACATAGACCCATTCTTTCATATGTACGCCTACCAGTTTTCTCTCACTAGATTTGAGGGTGCTAGAATTTAGGCGTACTAGTATGTCAAAAACCCTGGTGCGTAAGCCGTACTAGTACGTCGGAAACCCTGAAAGGGTTAAAATATAAGCAATCCCACCAAAAACTTGATATTTTACAAGTGGCTGTTGGAGAATCAAGAAAAGAAGGCAGAAAAATAAGAGAGAAGGGAGGGCAAAATACAAGATGGGAAAGTGTAGGGAGAGAGGGAAGACACAGGGAGAAAGAAGGTGCCCAAAATGCTTTGCATACTATGGGCTTTTCAAGTAATTATAAGTATTTATAACAAATATAAAGAATGCCTAAACAATTTTGATTAAAGAATTTTGAATAAGAGTTTTGAATAAAGAATTCTGAATTCTGATTTTTCTGAGGAGTAAAGAAGAGTATGAGAATGATGGAGAAAAGGAGAAGGATAAAAGAAGAGGATAAACCCAATATAATGGAAATAAGTGGTATAAAATACCGACACAATGGAAATATAAACACAAATGCAGTATAATGTGATCCTTTAATGACAACGTTTCACCCACACAGTGGGCTTTTTCAAGTCACACACGAATCTACCTGGGGTTGGAAGGTACGAGAGTATTTATAGTCAGAATGTTGAAGTCAGGTGAAGAATGCTGCATCTGATGATCTACCGGGTGGGGTTATAGACTCTTGGGTAGCTTGGCAGGGGTATCCCACATAAGAACACTGCAGAAGGTCTACAACTTGTCCAATACCCCTGCCAAGCTACCCAAGAGTCTATAACCCCACCCGGTAGATCATCAGATGCAGCATTCTTCACCTGACTTCAACATTCTGACTATAAATACTCTCGTACCTTCCAACCCCAGGTAGATTCGTGTGTGACTTGAAAAAGCCCACTGTGTGGGTGAAACGTTGTCAATAAAGGATCACATTATACTGCATTTGTGTTTATATTTCCAAACCCAATATAAGTTATTATAAATGACTGTCACTGAATAGGATGTTGAAGAGGATGACAGAGGAAGAAGTGGAGAAAGAACAGGAGGGAGGAAGACAAGGGAGAAGAGGAGGAGAAGAATGAGGGAAGAGGAGGAAGAAAATAAAAGAATAGGAGAATGGATGAGAGGATGAAGAAGATGAGAAAGACAAGGAAGAAGATATGAAAAGTAGAAAATGAGAGAGAAGGATGATGAGACTGGAAGATAAGAGAGGAGGAGGATGAAAGAGAAGGTGAGGATAAGAAGGGAAAATGAGAGAAGATAAGGATGGGAGGAGGAGGAGATGAGAATGAGAATAGGGAAGAGAAGGGAAAAGAGAGGAAGGTTCAGTGGTAACAATGACTCGGCAACAAATATAAAGAAAACTTAAAATTAATTTGCAATGCAAGAATAACAAGAGATATGCTCTTCCAAGCATGCATTACACACACAAGCAGTAGAGGTGTACCTACCGAGTCTCTTTCAGACCAGTTCTACTTAGAATGATTCGCAGGTTGGTAAAGGGGCCACTGAACTCCACACAGTAAAAACACCCAACAAAGAAGTCACCCACACCACTTCGATACACCATTACCTAGAATGCAATATTGTATGCAATAAGAAACAAGTCATCAATATGTACATGCCTATTAAGGATATAAAGTACTGGTACTTTAATGAAAGTTGGTAGAGACTAGCTGAAAGTTAGTACTGCATAAAGAGTAGCTCATTAAGGTGGTCAAGCTTTATCAAACAAAGAAAATTAAGTAAAATGACTTAGGATAATAAAACTATGTAAAATGACTTAAGATAAATTACAGTAGATGAGCTGGCTTATGAGAATACAAAAATGTATCCAGATTTTCAGCCTAAGAACTTTTAATGCCACATTCAAATGTACATTCAGAAATTTTGTTTACATTCAAGATTATTCAAGCATGAATTTTTGTATTTCATCTAAAGTCTGAAAATCAGTATGAGTCTAGCATGAAATATGAACTCACAGCTGAAAAATGTATATTTTTTTAATTTGAAAATTTCATTCTTTGATCCTTCAGTGCTTGAAGAAGCTACTGTTAGTGAACCTTATTCTTAATAATGATATACATGTACATATATATCTTTAGCCTCACTCTAATTTATCTTATTTAGTTTAGCATACTGAAGTCCTCTTGTAAATTATATTTGCCTGCTTAAGAATGGCTGGTTTCTGTATTAACTGCTATATTAGCCAAGTACTGTACAAATTTAGATTATTTTAATTTTAACCCTTAAACTGTCCAAACGTAGATCTACGTTTTTTCAACATTTGAAAGTACGTAAAAAAAAACGTAGCTCTTTTTTTTTTACATTTGAAAATGTGTAAAAAAAACTTTGATCTACTTTTATTGTTGTTATATTTGAAAATATGTAAAAAAACGTAGATCTACTTTTGGAGCACTACGCATGTGAATGTAGATCTGTTTGGACAGTTTAAGGGTTAAAGGTGGCAAAGTATAACTGATAAAATGCAATATAGAGTTATGAAGAGAAGGCAGTGAGAGCCCAACCCAGCAGAAGTCTGACAAGCTCAGCTACACTGTCTGGCACTTTGTGTTGAGCTAGACCTCAATGAACTCAAGAGGTTAAGGAATTCTACCTCAACACTTTTAGGAGACTCAAGAATTGTAGCTGAACACTATACAGTCCAAGAAATTGTATCCCACTAAGAGGCTCAGGTGCTGTACCTCAGCACTTACAAAAGACCCAAGAGTGCTAACTTAATACCCTCAATAAGTTCTGGAGTTAATAGTTCATTGTCCTCATAAAGCCCATGAGCTGGAATCAAAACAGTCCAATACTACAAAAATTAAAGATTAATCAGGAACTACAATTCACCACCTTCAAGACACCTAGGAGGGAAAACTCAACCCTCAGATGCCACTTAATTAAATTTGGGCTATTTGGTATTGTAGAGACATCATCAAGAAAGTCACTGACCTTCAGGAATTGGAACTCTAACCTATCAAACATTTTCAAGTCTGACATGGATTGGATGAAGCATTTTCAGAAAATATTATTCAAGATAAGACAATTTATCACAAAGATATGTTTTGAGCTCAACAATTATTCTTACATCATGGAATTTACAGGTTATGAGCTGTTATCCTACTTCAGCTCATTTTAATGCTCAGTCCTCTCAAATGTATGCAAAAAAAAAACTTTTCTAGAATAAGAGAGAGAACAGCCAGCTAACACCTGGGTACAAATTTACTGCTTGGGGAACAGGTGCAAGAAGTGTAAGGAAACACACCCAATATTTGTACCTGCTCTAGAATCAAATTTGAATCCTTCAGTTGAGAGCCAAAGGTGGTACTGTTGAGCCATAAGCCATCTTAGAAGACCCAGAAGCTGGAGGACAACCCTCACAAACTCAGATAAAAAAACGACATCATAAAACTGGAGCTCAATCTTTTCGCACTTAATCATATAATAAGCACAGTACAGAGCTGTAGCTCATCTTTCTCAAGAGGTCCAAGAGCTTCAACCTAACCTGTTAAATGCTGATAAAATTGGAGATCTCTTGAGCAGGGCATTGAGGATATAAAATATTTAATATTTCGGTAAAGATACCTCTCACCATGAGATGAACAAAAAGACACAATACACAAATAACCTGCACCCAAATGTCATCGTAAGCTCCTCTCTCCTATGTGTGGGTTATTTGTATATTCACCATGAGATATTCACACAACCTGACTTAAGCACCAATTTTGATTGCTAAATGCTGCTAGAGAAACAAAAGAATATAAAGATTAATGCAAAACCAATAGCCTGATCTTTATGGAGTTACAGCATAAAAATCAACCATTAAGTACAATTTTTTGAATTTGCTGTGGGGGTTTATATAAAAAAATTATTTCCAAAATGGTTAGAAGTGTGTAAAAATCTATATGGTATAGCTTTAAGGTGGAATGATGCTCTGTTTAAATCTTCAGCTTTCTTCGTAATTAACTAAGAAAATATTAAGGGAGGGGCGAATGAAATCACCAATTTTTTTTTTTGGGGTTAGATTTCAATGAGATTTTGACAGTGAATTAAGCAGCATAAAAAAAAGGCATATAAACTGTGTTTGTTTTGACTGTTAGCCTTCAAATTAGATAGAAAAAATAAATTATGCACAATTTTATGGGCCATAAAACTTTCCTTTTTCTACTAAATTGGGAAGATGTACAATGCTCTAGTTGACATCAGATGAAAGATAAAGGCTAGATTATTGTTGACCCAGGGCATTTCGGCGATAATGTCAGTAGATTCCATAAGAAAAAATGTTGAAGTAAGTGACAGATTTAATTTTTTTGTGTGCAAAAAAAAAAAAATTAAAAACAAAACTGTAAACAATATCACAAAAATCCCCTGGGTGTTTGTAGAACCATCATTCTTCAATAATGTGTGCAAAAATCATGACTACCCTATTAATACTTATCGAAGAAAAAGGAACACAATGTCAACAACTTATTTCTGAGTTATTATTATTATTGTTTGGTGTGAAACTATAGTTAGACATGCAAATCTCAGCATGTTGCATTCCTCCATCCTTGTTGACAGCCTGCAGGCTACTAAGGGATGCACACTGCACTCTACAATTTAGTCAACACAGAAGTTGCCATGTAGAGTATTTAGAATGAAACAATCATAAAAATTGTAATTTTTGGAGGAAAAAAAAACCAAAAAACCCATTAATTGCCAACATGTATTTTTGATGACAGCAAGAACACAAAAATTACATTTAATGAAAAGCAAACTTAGAAATGTGATAGAAACAAGCTGATTACATCAAAATGTTGCCAGAATTTTGCACCATTTTTCAATAAGAAAACTTTTTTTTTCCATGAATTTTCAATCTTAATTTTCTGATCACTGAAAAATGGCTCACCCCTTGAAAATTATATTGAAAAATATCAAGACTCACTATTAACATATTTTATGTAGAACTTCAAAGATTAAAAAAATAATTCAAAATGTTTATAGTTAATGTCAAGTACAGTCTCTCCTCACTTAACGATGTACTCATTTAACGAATGCTCGGACTTACGACCAGCTCTCTGACCACTTGCAAACCTCTGCACTTTCCCTAATTTCCTGACATGCTTGGCCAGGTGTGGGTTTCAAACTCCTGTTACATACTCCAATATGGACCTGATATACATGGTGTAAAGAGTCCTGAATGATTCCTTACAGAGATGTCGGAATGCTGTTCTTAGGTTTGCTAGGCACCCACATGCTGCAGTATTTATTTGGTTGATGTGTACCTCAGGTGTGCCTGGTGTTATACTCACCCAAAGATCCTTTTTCCTTGAGTGAGTTTGTAGTCTTTGGCCCTCTAGACTGTACTCTATCTGCAGTCTTCTTTGCCCTTCCCCAATCTTCATGACTTTGCACTTGGTGGGGTTGAACTCCAGGAGCCAGTTTCTGGACCAGGCCTGTAGCCTGTCAGATCCCTTTGTAGTCCAGCCTGGTCCTCCTCTGACTGAATTCTCCTCATGAACTTCACATCATCTGCAAACAGGGACACTTCTGAGTCTGTTCTTTCCATCATGTCATTCACATATACCAGAAACAGAACCGGTCCTAGGACTGACCCCCGTGGAACCCCACTCGTCACAAGCGCCCACTCTGACACATCATGTACTCACCTAGTTGTACTCACCTAGTTGAGGTTGCGGGGATCGAGTCCGAGCTCCTGGCCCCGCCTCTTCACTGATCGCTACTAGGTCACTCTCCCTGAGCCGTGAGCTTTATCATACCTCTGCTTAAAGCTGTGTATGGATCCTTCCTCCACTACATCGCTTCCCAAACTATTCCACTTACTGACTACTCTGTGGCTGAAGAAATACTTCCTAACATCCCTGTGATTCATCTGTGTCTTCAGCTTCCAACTGTGTCCCCTTGTTACTGTGTCCAATCTCTGGAACATCCTGTCTTTGTCCACCTTGTCAATTCCTCTCAGTATTTTGTATGTCATTATCATGTCCCCCCTATCTCTCCTGTCCTCCAGTGTCGTCAGGTTGATTTCCCTTAACCTCTCCTCGTAGGACATACCTCTTAGCTCTGGGACTAGTCTTGTTGCAAACCTTTGCACTTTCTCTAGTTTCTTTACATGCTTGGCTAGGTGTGGGTTCCAAACTGGTGCCGCATACTCCAATATGGGCCTAACGTACACGGTGTACAGGGTCCTGAATGATTCCTTATTAAGATGTCGGAATGATGTTCTGAGGTTTGCTAGGCGCCCATATGCTGCAGCAGTTATTTGGTTGATGTGCGCTTCAGGAGATGTGCCTGGTGTTATACTCACCCCAAGATCTTTTTCCTTGAGTGAGGTTTGTAGTCTCTGGCCCCCTAGACTGTACTCCGTCTGCGGTCTTCTTTGCCCTTCCTCAATCTTCATGACTTTGCACTTGGTGGGATTGAACTCCAGGAGCCAATTGCTGGACCAGGTCTGCAGCCTGTCCAGATCCCTTTGTAGTTCTGCCTGGTCTTCGATCGAGTGAATTCTTCTCATCAACTTCACGTCATCTGCAAACAGGGACACCTCAGAGTCTATTCCTTCCGTCA